GGCGCGAAAGCGAGAGGCACATTTTGAAAGCACTCGCACTCAAGCCGTCAAACTCTTGCAAATGTTTGAAACGAACGCGTGCGGCGCTAAGGCGAGAGACACATTTAGAAAACCACTCGCCCTGAGCCACATTTTGAAAACGGCCCGTCCTCCATCCGTGACGGTGTCGCCAATTTTATAAAGCTTCAGGGCTACAAGCGGTGAGGGAATCTTAGGCGAAACGCCCGGCCCGCTCTAAAAACTGGCCTCGGGGTGCGACAGGGAGAAGTCATCGACATGGTGAAGGAATGGAGGGGGAGGAGGGGGGGGAGGTGGAAGAGTGGGGATCCACGGAGGGGGAGGCCATCGGGGAGGGGATGGGGGAATAGACCAAGATGACGACGAGGAGGGAGGCCGCGATCGGCCCTCTCACGGGCCAGCAGTCACGGACTGTTGTATCCCCTGCATCGCATCGAGGTCAGACTTGAGCGCCCTCGAGGCGACAACTCTCCGTGGCGAGGCTGCTTCGATGGAGCGTCAGCCTATATCCAGGTCGGCACATGGGCCGCAGGACTCGCCCTCTCGAATCGGACAGCCACCTGCTTCGCAACTCCACGATCGAATCGACATGTCATCGAGCCAACACTGCATGCCTTGAAGGTCAACGCGGGCACCGCCGTCTTCGGTGTATTTGGCAGCTCCTGTCCTGGAGTCGCAGGTGATGTGCCGCTGTATCTGGACGGTGCTGGCCCGATCGAGAAGATGTCGAGGCACTCGACTCGGCGCTGGAGTAGAATGCCAATATTCGGATCGCTCGCTTCGGGGGGGGGGGAGCGCCCCGAGCGAGCGAGCAGTGGAGACGACCAAGGCGCTGTTTGAGTGGAGCACAGGCTGCCAGACCCACCACGTTTGACGCGGCCCCGACAAAGGATCCTCGATGAAAGAAGGCGGCCATCGCAAGCCCACCAACTTCTGAGCTGCCCACGCTGTTAGTTGAGCGGACCATCGATATGTTGCACGGCCCCCCCGACTGTATAACATAGACGGGAGGAAAGGTGCCGCAAGCGTTGCCTAGCAAGAGGAGCGACAGCAGCGCGCAACCCTGTGCGCTAACTAGCTCTGTACATGCTGACTGAGCCCCGCGGTTCGTCACCAATGGAATGCAGTCGGGGCCCTGAAGAAGGAACCCTTTTCGTTGGGGAGGGGCTCCGTGTTCCTTGATTGCTTCACAGTTTGCCTTGGGTTTTGCTTTGGTTTCCGAAGGGAAATCGAAGTCCAACTTGTGGATCTAAGGGGCCTCGTTCCTTGTTTAGGGTTCCTTGGGTCAACGCTGCGACTGTATCAAAGTCGATTCAGCCGCCCTTCACCCTCGCAGACATGCCTGCAGTGCAGACAACGGCTCGATCTGAGCGTGACGCTAACAGTTCACGTGACCCGGCAAACGGCGAAGGCCTCGAGGGCGGCTGCAGAAGCAGAGCTCAAAGCGGAAGAGCCGCGAACCCCGGATCTTGCCGCAACAGGATCCTACAGTCGGGGCGCTGAAGAAGGGACCCTTCTCGTTTGGGAGGGTCTCCGTGTTCCTTAATTGTTTCACAGTTTGCCTTCTGTTTTCCGTAGGTTTTCGATGGGAAATCGAAGTTTAATTCATAGACAAAAAGGGCCTCGTTCCTTATGTAGGGTTCCTTAGGTCAACGCCCCGACTGTAACCTCAGAGTCACCCCGAGGGACCCTCGGGACCAAGGCTGTTGAACACGGACCCATCGTTGCGTCGTGTGGACCGGTCGACCGGCGGCGACCCCGCCGTTGGCGTTCAACGTAGAAGGCCGCCGGCGACTCAGAATCGATCGATGCTGAACGATCCGACGTTCCGGAAGTGGCCGACCGTTCAAGGTTGAACGATCCCCGTGGTGTCAGAAACCAGCGCCAGGGTCGACACGACACGGACCTGCCGTAGCCACTTTGGCCCGAACGGCCCTGTCACCAGGGCTTCCTTCCGAGTTCTTGCTGGCGCCTGCGCACACGCAGCCGCCTCAGCGGGCCCGGGATCGAGCCCCCTGCGGCCGCGCAGCCTCCAAAACTCGCGCGGCACTGCTTGCACGGAGCCGGCTCGGCCGCCCCAGCGCCGCGGCGGGGTCGAGCTCGGGCGCCGAAGGGCTCGGAAGCAAGCCCTGGAGGACTCGCAGGGGCGGCCTTGCCACTGGGATCAAGTCGCGCCTGTCCCTCTACAGGGGGGATCTTCAGAAATAATTTTAAACATAGTATGGGGACAATTAGTTTACTCTTGTTGCTCATTTGGGGGTATTTTTTGAATCTGTTTCCCAACCCTCCTATGGTTGGGTACTCGTTTTGAATAGAGCAGTGTGGTCGCCCCGTCCTCCTCCTCCTCTCCTGTCTCCTATGTTCCCTCTCCTCTTCTCTCGTGCCGTCGGGCTGCGATCTGCGCAACTGTCGCAACTGTCGCCACTTTCGTGGGCTCCTGGGAGGCCCAGCGGAGGTGGGTCCCACGCGGATCACCTCGAGACCTCGCGGTGCCCTGGGGGCTGCGATCTGCGCAATTGTCGCCACTTTCGCGGGCTCCTGGGAGGCCCAGCGGAGGTACGTCCCACGCGGATCACCGAGACCTCGCGGTGCCCTGGGGGGCTTGCGATCTGCGCAATTGTCGCCACGTTCGTGGGCTCCTGGGAGGCCCAGCGGAGGTGGGCCCACGCGGATCACCTCGGACCTCGCGGTGCCCTGGGGGCTGCGATCTGCGCAACTGTCGCCACTTCGTGGGCTCCTGGGAGGCCCAGCGGAGGTGGTCCCACGCGGATCACCTCGAGACCTCGCGGTGCCCTGGGGGCTGCGATCTGCGCAACTGTCGCCACTTCGTGGGCTCCTGGGAGGCCCAGCGGAGGTGGGGGTCCCACGCGGATCACCTCGAGACCTCGCGGTGCCCTGGGGGCTGCGATCTGCGCAACTGTCGCCACTTTCGTGGGCTCCTGGGAGGCCCAGCGGAGGTACGTCCCACGCGGATCACCTCGAGACCTCGCGGTGCCCTGGGGGCTGCGATCTGCGCAACTGTCGCCACTTCGTGGGCTCCTGGGAGGCCCAGCGGAGGTCGTCCCACGCGGATCACCTCGGACCTCGCGGTGCCCTGGGGGCTGCGATCTGCGCAATTGTCGCCACTTTCGTGGGCTCCTGGGAGGCCCAGCGGAGGTGGGTCCCACGCGGATCACCTCGAGACCTCGCGGTGCCCTGGGGGCTGCGATCTGCGCAACTGTCGCCACTTTCGTGGGCTCCTGGGAGGCCCAGCGGAGGTGGGTCCCACGCGGATCACCTCGAGACCTCGCGGTGCCCTGGGGGCTGCGATCTGCGCAACTGTCGCCACTTTCGTGGGCTCCTGGGAGGCCCAGCGGAGGTGGGTCCCACGCGGATCACCTCGAGACCTCGCGTGCCCTGGGGGCTGCGATCTGCGCAATTGTCGCCACTTTCGTGGGCTCCTGGGAGGCCCAGCGGAGGTGGGTCCCACGCGGATCACCTCGAGACCTCGCGGTGCCCTGGGGGTTGCGATCTGCGCAACTGTCGCCACTTCGTGGGCTCCTGGGAGGCCCAGCGGAGGTGGGTCCCACGCGGATCACCTCGAGACCTCGCGGTGCCCTGGGGGTTGCGATCTGCGCAACTGTCGCCACTGTCGTGGGCTCCTGGGAGGCCCAGCGGAGGTGGGTCCCACGCGGATCACCTCGAGACCTCGCGGTGCTCTGGGGGCTGCGATCTGCGCAATTGTCGCCACTTTCGTGGGCTCCTGGGAGGACCAGCGGAGGTGGGTCCCACGCGGATCACCTCGAGACCTCGCGGTGCCCTGGGGGCTCCGATCTGCGCAATTGTGTCATTGTCGTGGGCTCCTGGGAGGCCCAGCGGAGGTGGGTCCCACGCGGATCACCTCGAGACCTCGCGGTGCCCTGGGGGCTGCGATCTGCGCAATTGTCGCCACTTTCGTGGGCTCCTGGGAGGCCAGCGGAGGTGGTCCCACGCGGATCACCTCGGGACCTCGCGGTGCTGGGGGCTGCGATCTGCGCAATTGTCGCCACTTTCGTGGGCTCCTGGGAGGCCCAGCGGAGGTGGGTCCCACGCGGATCACCTCGAGACCTCGCGGTGCCCTGGGGGCTGCGATCTGTGCAATTGTCGCCACTTTCGTGGGCTCCCGGAGGACCAGCGGAGGTGGGTCCCACGCGGATCACCTCGGGACCTCGCGGTGACCTGGGGGCTGCGATCTGCGCAATTGTCGCCACTTTCGTGGGCTCCTGGGAGGCCCAGCGGAGGTGGGTCCCACGCGGATCACCTCGAGACCTCGCGGTGCCTTGGGGGGGGCTTGCGATCTGCGCAATTGTCGCCACTTTCGTGGGCTCCTGGGAGGCCCAGCGGAGGTGGGTCCCACGCGAATCACCTCGAGACCTCGCCGCCCCTGAAGGGCTTGCGATTTTCGCATTTTTCGCCACTTTCGTGGGCTCCTGGGAGGCCCAGCGGAGGTGGGTCCCACGCGGATCACCTCGGGACCTCGCCGCCCCCTGGGGGGCTTGCGATCTGCGCAATTGTCGCCACTTTCGTGGGCTCCTGGGAGGCCCAGCGGAGGTACGTCCCACGTGGATCATTCGGATGTACGTCATACGCGTTTCTTTCAACGCCCCTGTGCTTCCATCTTGTATAGTTGCCGTTCCTCTTCTTGCTGCGCTCGTCTGAAGTCACTGTTGCGTGCTCTTCTTGCGCAAGGCGGGTCCTTCAGAATGCCAGTCAGCATTGAATGGTCCTGGGTATAATCGCCACATTTATAGAAAAGGTTGGGTACGTCACAAGGTATGTTTCATCCAAAATCCGCCTGTAGGGGGACACGCCCGACTTAACACTGGGACGGGGTCTGCGGCTGGCGATGGGCGCCTGCGGCTACCTGGGACCTGGAGGAGGCGTTCGCGGAGCGGCAGGAGGTGGCCGTCGCCGCCAGCCACGACGCGAGGGGCGGGGGCGGGCCCTACGCCTCGGGCGACGGCATGTCCGGTAGAGACCTGAGAGCCACAGACAGGGTCCAGGCGCGCAGGAGGTGGAGGCGGAGGATGGTGCGGTCGAGGGGCTTTCTTCGGCGTCACCCCAACACACTAGTACTATGTGTGCGTCGCCCCCCCAGGGGCGACGCGCGCACCGAGAAATCTAATAGTATATGCGTCGTGGCGGGCGCTTTCTGGCCACACCGCTCGGGAAGCGATATACTACAAGATGGGTATAGTATATGTTCGGGTCGGACGCGCGCCTCCAAGGAGGACATATAGTTTATCGTACTAGTATGTTTCTGTGCATCCCATTTCTCTCTCAGCGTGGCGTGCCGCCGGTTCTGACCCACCACGCTTCGGCGCGACACGCTTGGCACTTCCCAATGTCCAAGCGTCAGCGTTCCGAGGTGTTCCCAGCGCTTCGTCCCGTGATGCAGAGCGAGAAGCCATCAGCTTGCACTGCGTACCGTGTCGCAAGGGCCGCCGCCGCGCAACGCCAGGCAACGGGTCTTGACCGTAATGATGATATAACTGCCATTGGGTTGTCATCGGGTTACAGGTGCCTGGTCAAGTTTCTAATACCTCCTTGCGCATGGCATGCTAACGCGCGCGCGCGCGACGGGCCGAGCCGCAATAGTGTGCGATCATGGTTTGCAGAGCTTTGGCATTCATCCGTCCGCGACCGTGTGCTTCAAATTCCCATTGATCTCAACGCCCGCGTTGGATACGAGTTTCTGTTGTGCCGACTTTCGCGTAGTACACGGGGTTTCTTTCATGCCAGCATGTATGTCTTCAACAAAGAAAATCACCGCAGGGGGGGGGGGTCATCACAATCGGGTCCATGTGGATGCGCCCACATGCGGCACGCTCCATCACCGAAATGGCGCAGCCGCGGTCAGAGGGGACAGGATGCAATGGAGGAGGCACAGGTGCCCTTCTGGCTTGCGCAGAGCCTGGCAAGGCGCCAAGTGGTCGAGCTCCAGCGCGACCCCGTCGTCTGCCGCATCTGCGACAGGAGCTCCTACTATCATGCTGCGCTGCTGCGCATGTCCGCCACAGCTGGGAGGAAGGAAGACCACCACCACTTCCACCGCCTGGAGGTTCAGTGCAGAGAGGGTTCGATGGCCACGGTGGAATCATGATGCCCACCTGCATCCCGCAGATCGGCGACTTGACCCTCCAGGTGATGGTGTTTATGAAGTCCCTTCTCCCTGCCACCGCGCTGTAGAAGAGGGGTGTTCGGGGTGGTAGGGGGGGAGTAAGCGAGGAATGGCACGGATCTTCAAGCAAGATTGGTGATTTCCAGTCTTCTCCAGAAGACAAGAAAGCCAGGGATGTCCAGTTATCTGCTCCGCCGGGTGCAGCAACACCGAGCGAGGACGCCATGAGCCTCGGCAAGCGCCAACCACGGCACGGGGAGGTGGCGCACCTCGGGGCCGTCCTGGTGCCCTCTCGGGGCCCCGCTGGGCCATCCTGCGGGTATTCTTGGCACCTCTGGCGACGACGGCCTGTCGGAGGGGGGCCACAAAAAGAGGGGCTGCCACCCTGGGCACCCTATGGGGGGAGGGGGGGGGCGCCACGAGGCCACCGTCGTCGTCGTCGCCGCCGCCGCCGCCGCCGCCGCCGCCATCGTCGGTGTCGCCGTCGACGAGGCCACAGATGTTCTATATTGTCCAATCTTCGGGCCATCCTCCTGAAGTCCGACTTCGTGAAGTCGTGGAAAGAAAATCGGGACGGGAGATCCCGCCCCCTTCCCTGCGCGACCACTTTGCCGAGCCCGATCGACCCGAACTTCGAACGGATCCTGTATTCGAAATGGGGCGAAAACACCTCGTGGTTTTTGCCACTACACCCGGGGATGCCGGGGGATTGCAGAAGGAGGCCTCCGAATCAAAGTCTGGCTCTCTCTCTCTCTCTCTCTTTCCCCGAGCGTTTTTTGTCCAGGTTTCCGAGGCAGATCTCGCGGCGGCGACGGGGGAGGCCCCCGAGGAGCCAACAGAGGAGGCGAGGAGAAGGACGAGGATCGTCCCCCTCCTCGTCGTCCTCGTCTTAGCAGAGTTAGGTCGCTCTTGATGGGGCCTCCAGGGGGAGGGGGCGGATCTCGAGATCGGCATGCGGGTCGCCAGCCTGCGGACGACCTGCTTGAGGCCCAGCTGCAGCGCTGGCGCGAGATCGTGAAGATGTTGGGCAACCTGGGCGTCGCGCGCATGCAGGCTCTCCGCCCTCGCTCTCCTCACTCCTCCTCCTCCTCCCCCCTCCCTCCATCCATGTCCCTCCCCCTTCTCCTTCCTGCTCTCCTCCTCCTTCCTCCTCCCTCCCTTCTCCTCTCCCTCTCCCTCGCCCTATGGCGCCGTGAAGGAAAACGGCTCGGGACGAAGAGCCGGTCCCCGGGAAGGAGGCCAGAACATCCGGGGGGTCCGCGCTGCGAAAAGTGTACGGCGTGACGTTGGAGGTCTGGGCCGAGCGGGCCCAGGACCCTTTCTTCTATTGTTATGTTAATTCGTGTTGCTTACACATTGTGTTTGTTATTATTAGTATACGTAGATGGGTAATTCTTATTATTCGTACGATTCTTTCTTGTATTACTATAAGTATGTGTATTTCTATCACCATCATTCTTATTATTCGTAGGCTTACTATTGTCATTATCATTACTACTAATATGATAAGAATTGTTATCCTTTTTGTTTTTATTATACACACTATTAAAATCATCCTCGTTCTCCTCCTCCTCCACCTCCTGAGTCGATCCAGAGCTTTCCTGAACGCTCTCATAGCGTCCCAGAGCGCTCTGGAATGGCCGCGGTCCTGGTCTTCGCTTCGCCTTACTGGGTTCCTCCCCTCGCAGACCCACCCGCTCAACCTTGAGGCCTCCATCTTCCCGCGCACGCTGTCGGCGGCGGAGCACGCCATGTGGCTTGGCGGGCTGTCCTCAGCGGGTGCCTACAAGGAGCGCCGCCGCCCTTCTCGTGCGAAGGAGAAGGAGAAGAAGGAGAAGGAGATGGAGGAGGAGGAGGAGATGGAGGAGGAGGAGGAGGAGAAGGAGGAGAAGGAGGGCGGCGGCGGCGGCGGCGAGGCTGAGGAGAAGGAGGGCGGATGGCAGGAGGAGGTCCCCTCGCCCCGCCCTGCCCCCTCAGCCCCTTCTCCCCTCCTCCGCGGGGGGGGCGCGCCATGGAAGTCGACGTTTCCCTCGCGGCCGCAGGCGCACCCGCGGCCAGCGGCCGGCGGCGCCAGGAGCCAGGGGGAGAGGAGCAGGAGGACACGATGGAGGTGGACGCGAGCGTTCAGCTGGCGGCCCAGTTTCGGGCAGCGGTCTGGGCGGTCGACGTGCAAGGAGCATCGGCACGACCGGCCGCCTGCAGGGCCTGCGGCCTGGTCTTCGAAGCAGGCGAGTTGCGCTTGTGCACCTGGGGTAACCGCACGTGCTCACGCTGGATGTGCACTACCTGCCTGAAGGGTCGCCTGCCGCCAGGCGCGGAGCTCCGGCCTCATGGGAGAGGCGATGCGTTGAGCGCCGAGGCGGCGCGAGCGCAGACGGCAGTCCGCGAGGCTACCCGCGGAGCAGGAGCCGCCGCTGGAGGGGCGCCGCCGGCGCAGCAGCAGCAACACCAGCCCGTCCAGCATCCAGCTTGGGACGACAACGAGCTACCCGGCCAAGACTGGTGGACAGCCCTGCCGTGGGACGACCTGGTAACCACAGGAGCCACTACGTATGCGCAGATCCCAGACAGACTACGCGGCGCCGTCCTCCAGGTGCGCCGGAAGTCTTTGGAAGTCTTTCGGCACGCCCGGGAACGCGGGGAGGCGAAGGATGAATGGAAGTTGTTCTTGGTGCTGGACCTCCTCCTTCTCAGCACCAGCGACGAAACCGCGACCTGCGCAGAGCTGCTCGAGGAGCGCCTTGCGTGGTTCTGGGGGGCTCAGTGGGACGCGCTCTGGGCGTCCGTCCGGCACGGGCGGAAGATCCCAGTGGCGGCCGCCAAGAACACCGACAAACAAAAGGCGGCGCGGGTACACACCCTGGCAGCAGCTGGAGAAGAAGGCCGGGCTCCCCGAGCCACAGCCAACAGCAGACTGGCCCCACGCACCCCAGACACCTTGAACAAGGTAAAGGCGTGCTTCCGCGAAACAGCTCAGCCAGCGCCGTCGTTGGAGGGCATCCCGCGGGCTCCGCCAGAGATCCTCGAAAGCGTCCAGGAGGAGACAGCGAAACTGCTGCGGAGGCCGCCCCGTCTCTCGGCGCCGGGGCTGCTAGGCTGCCGCTTGGAACACCTCGAAGACGCGAAGCGTTGCGCCGAGACGTTGGGATGGCTCTCCGAAGCGATATCCTGGATCGCCTTCGGCATGCTGCCCAGCGAGGCCCTAGCCGTTCTCCGCGCAGGGGAGGTCACGGCGCTCCAAAAGGGAGGCGACGACGTACGGCCGCTCGTTGTGGGCTCCACGGTGCGCCGCCTGGGCTTGCGAGCGCTGGCGCGGGTCAGGAAGGAGCAACTTCGGGCCGCAGCTGGCGACAGGCAGTACGGAGTCGGGAGGCCAGGCGGCACCGAACTCCTGCTGCGGAAGTTGGAGGCCCAGGCGGAAACCAGGCCCACAGCAGTCTTCCTGAAGCTGGACTTGGAGGCCGCCTTCCCCTCGCTAGAACGGGCGCCCGCCCTGGCGGCCATGGCGGAGCGAGACGAGGTGGTCGCGGCAGCGCTCCTCTCGTGGCACGGGCAGCCAGCGAAACACCTCTGGCGAGACGCTGGGGGTCGTTTCCACCCGCTTCAAAGCGACAGGGGATTCGACCAGGGGGACCCCTTGTCGCCCGCTGCGTTCTCCGTGGCGCAGAGGGTTGCCTTGGACAGGTTCTACGAGGAGCTACTCCGCTTGGACCCACAGGCGAGGCTGTACAGCTACCTGGGCGACTCCTACCTGGTGGTGGAGGCTCCGCTGGCTGCTCTCGCACTGCAAGCCCTGCAATAGGCTCTCCAGCCCCTCGGGCTAAAGCTGAATTCCGGGAAGACAGCTGCTTGGTCCCCAGCTGGGCGAGCCGTGCTCACGGGAGAGCTGCAGGCTTGCTGGGTGCACAGCTTGCCCGTGCTCGGCAAGCACCTGCGACCGCCGGGCGACGCCGACAGCAGCGCGCCGGCAGCCCTCGGGGAGCCAGCGAACAGCCTCGCCGAAGCTGGGAGGAAGCTACAGAAGCTTTACCGAGAGCTTCAGAAAATGCACATGGCAGGGCTCAAGAAGCACGCGACGGCAGCCCTCCTCCGCGCCTACGCAGGCCCGGCAAGCCAGCACTCCTTGCGAATGGAGCTCGCGACGGACGCCGCGACGGAGCAGTGCGACGACCTGCTCGCTGGCTGCTGGCAGGACCTGCTTGGGTGGGACCTCGGCGACACGGCCAAGGAGCTGCTGGGCCTCCCAGCCCGCTTCGGGGGCTTGGGCGCGCAGCTGGCTACCACGCGCCGCCACGCGGCTTTCCTGGCCTCTTGGACGCTGGCGGCGGGGGAGGTCACGGAGGACCAGGGCAGCGGGACGCTGGCAGACTGCTTGGAACGGCTGCCGCGAGCGGCCCAGCAACTGACCACTGCGAGGCAAGGGCTGCAAGACCAAGGGCTGGAGCTCGCCGCGGGCGGGGACCTGGCGACTGCGCTGCAGGCGCCCCTGAAGCAAGGCCTGGCAACTGAGAAGGTACAAAGAAACCAGCACGCAGCTCTGCTGCGACGCTTGTACCTTCCCGGACAGGCCGAGCTGCGGGGGGCGGCCGGCAGCGGCAGCGGCGCCTACCTGACCTACCCAGAGGACGAACTCTACACGCTGGAAGACGCCCACTGGGAGACCAGCGCCAGGCGGCGGCTGCAGCTCCCGCGCGCGGAGCTCAGCCAGCGCGAGCTCGCGACGACAGGGGCCGCCTGCTGCTTGCGCGGCGCCGACGGGGCCAGCTGCGCCAGGGCTCTGGACGAACGCGGCTACCGCGCCTTGACTTGCCAGCGGGGCGGGGGGGTGCTGGCGCGCCATGGCGGACTCAACCGGAGGGTCGCTGGGCTCCTCCACCGCTGGCGCGGCGAACGGCCACTCCTCGAGCAGAGAGTACCGACTTGGGACCGCCAGCGTCCAGAGGGCCAGCTCGAGCGCGCCATCCTGGACTTGGAGTACCAGGAAGACGACGGGGCCCGGTGGCTGGACGTCTCCGTTCGCCACCCCGCAGCCGGCACGCCAGCCGAGCTGCGCGTGGCCGCGCGCCGGGACGGCGAGGCCAGCAGGCGCGGCGAGCGCGAGAAGCACGCGCGCTACCCAGGCGCTCGGCTCACGCCCTTCGTCCTCGAGGCGGGGGGGCGGCTCGGCGCCGAGGCCCGCCTCTGGCTGCTCGGGCAGGTAAGACGCCTGCCTGAGGAACAGCAGCCGCGGGAGCTGGCGCGGGCCTACAAGGTCCTGAGCTGCGGCCTGCAAGCTGCCACGGCGCGCCAGCTCCGCAAGGCAGCCGGCCTGCGCTAGGCGGCGCGCCAGGCGTCGGCGCCGCCGCCACCGGAGGCCGCTCGAGGGGGACGCCGCCCTTGCCACCGCCTAGCGAGCGCGACACCCGGGCTGCAGAGCGCGGGCCAGCTGGCCGCAGGCCCCAGACGCTTGGCGAGGCCGCCAGCCAGCGCGACCCCGCGCCCGCGGGCCCGCTGCGGAGCGCTGCTGGCTTACTGCGCCGCTGACTGCGCTGCGGCGGCTGGGCGGCGCTACTGGGGGGCACCGACGACTGCGACGCCGCGGAGAGGCGCAGGCCGGCGGCCGGGGAGGTCGCGTTCGTCTACGAGCTCCCTTGTATGCTGGCCAGAGGCTCCGGCTGGCAGAAGCCCTCACCCTCCTGGGAGTAGCTGCTTGCATGTTTCGCAGGCAGTTACCCCCGGGGGTGCCGCCCCTTGGGGTTGGGCGGCGGGGGCGTCTGCCGGCTCCCGACTATGGAGCGTCGGGCGCGCGGAAGAGACCCGCGTCCGCCGCGCCTCCTCCTCCTCCTCCTTCTCCTCCTCCTCCTCCTCCTCATCTGTAATATACTGGGCGACCGGGTTCCCGGGCCCGAGGGGCGGCCCACTGTTCCAAAACTCACCCCCGTTACCCACGATTTACCCAGCTCCTGTGGCGCCTGCTGGAAGCAATTTCGCAGTCCGGAGGTTCTTCCGGGGCCTACGGGAAGCCCTTTCGGCTTCAAGAGATTTCCAAAATCGTTCAGGGGGGGGGGCACTCCTCCCACGAGGCTCCCAGGCTATTCCAGGAGGTTCCTAGAGCTCTGCAGAAGCCCCCAACATAGCGATCCTGTGGACACCCGCAGCTTTGCGAGGACGCCCCCGAGGGGTTCACATCATTCACATCGATGTGTTATTCGATGTTCGTTTGCTTTCTCGCTGTTTCGCATCCGATGGGTTTTTGAAGCCTCAAGATGGCGCCTAGATCGTCCAGCAGAGCCCCAAGAGAGTCCCAACGCGGGCCCAAGATGGCCCAACAGGCCCCCGAGACGGCCTCGAGACGGCCCAGGATGCCCCCCAGAGGCCCCCAAGAGGCCCCCAAGAGGCCCCAGAAAGCTTGAAGCGGTCCTAGGAGAGCCCGAGCAGGATTACAGGAGGCCCGCGAGACTGCCAGCAGGCCCCCAAGAATCGCCCAAGAGGCCCGAAGAAGCTTCCGGGAGGCCCAAAAGAAGCCCCAAGAGACCGCACACGGCCCCTGATAGGTCCCACAAGGCTTCAAAATCGTTGGTAAGAAGCTAGCCCCACGAGGCTTCAAAGTTGCCCCCCGAGGCTTCCCGGAAGCTTCCCGAGAGACCCCAACGAGCATCCAAGAGGCTTCTGGCCCACAACCAAGGAACGGTGACGGCATTCACCCGTTCCCCTGGGTATGATTTGCCCCTAGAACGCTTCAAGAGGGCAGCAGGAGGCCCCCCGAGCAGCTTCCCGAGTGGGCCCCCTGGACGTCTTCGGCGCCAGGATG